AATAATAAAATATATATATAAAAAAATAAAGTATCAAAATTTTTGTGAAACGAAACCTAAATAGTCTAGATCCCTGAAACTTGTTATCGTATGAAGAGAAGTGAGCTTTATCGTTCATCAAAAAAATAAAAAAAGTGAGCTTTATCAGTTAGGTCCAAGTGATGTGAAACTTGGTGTGATCCAATCAATTAAATCCTTGTCTAGAATTTTCACATTATCACAATTAATCCTTCAAAGCAAAGGATCAACGTGGAGCTTAAATTCGTAAAGAGAAATCAGCACATTAATACCCTTTTCGTACCGGCTAATATGTGTCATTATTTTTTTAGTTAGATGATGAGATATATAATATAAAATATTTTTTTATTTATTTAAAATTTTTAATATAAAGATTCAACTTTAAAATTATTAAAATATTCTTAATAAACTATATTGTTTTTATAATAAAATGTGGTGGCATAACCCTAATTTTGTGCGGTAGCTTTTTTTTTTATTGACTGTTTTGGTTAGGTGTAAGTGTAGTCTGATTTTGGTTATAATTGAAATTAAATTAGTAGTTAATTAAAATTTAGATTTAAAATTTTAATTATTATTAATTAAATCAAGAAAAATAAATTATATTAATTTCGATTACATTTTTTAGAGAATATTGGATTGGTTTTTGATTTTAACTAAAAATTAGTTTTATATTTTTTAGTATTTTTTAATTCCTTAATTATTGTTTTATTAACTTTAATCAATAAAAATTAATAATTACTCAAATAAATAAATAATTTGATGAAAGTGGCTAAAAAACCATTAAAAATTTTGTATAAAAGGTTTTTAGATTGATTTTCTTTATTATATTTACTCTAGTCATTGATTTTCCGGTTGTTAAACTTATCACTCAAAACTCAAACCATTTAAAATCAAATTTTCAAATTTTTTTAGTCAAGTAAACCCAAAATCCAATCAAACTCTACCCATCAAGTATGATTTCATTAGTTTCCAAATTTCTTTTAGTTGCAAGTCTTTTAGCCCACCCCTAGTTTTGGCCAAAATATGCCCACCCCTAGTTTTGGCCAAAATATGCTACGTTGACCAAAATTTTTTATACTAAAAGGTACAAAATTAGTATGAATAATTTACATAAATAAATCATTATTTAATAGTTAGTTTTTTAAAATATTCATCAAAAAATAATATTTTTTTATTAGTAACTCTACATAGTTAGGAGTGATACGCAATATTTTTTTTATATTTATTACATGTCATTGTAAGTGAATTCATGATATAAAAATATCTCTATAAAAAATTTATATAAAAGTAGTTATTTATAATAATAAATTTGAAATAGTACACGATACATGTTGCATAAATAACAAAATTTATACGTATGGTATTAATAATATTAATCAATAGATCAACACATTCTAGGTATAACTATAAAAAAAAAATAAAGTAAATTAGTTAAATATAAAGAATGAACCTTAGTGACCTCCAAGCTTTTACAATTTTACAATCACAATATTATATAAAATTGTACTTTTATAATTATAATATTTCATTAAATAAGTTGATACATTAATATTATGGGTGGACCTTTAGATAAAAAAAAAGTTAATTATCATATAATGACATATAATTATTATAATTTATAATGTTAGGTAAAGTCGTGACCATCATTTTTGTCTGAAGTTATAGGTGCCATTGCATGTGCAGATAAATTTATTTATTTTTGGTTAAAATCTCATTTTGGTTTCTTTACTTTAATAAAAAATATTTTTTAAAGTTGCTTTACTTAAAAAAATTCATTTTTAGTCCTTAAAGTTTATCATTTAGCCCTTTTTAATCCATCGATTATCTTTTTATGCACATGATGCATTAGATAATAAAAGTTCTAAAATAAAGAGACTAAAAAAGAAATGTTTTAAAGTAGAAGGATCAAAAAAATTCATTTTTAGTCCTTAAAGTTTATCATTTAGCCCTTTTTAATCCATCGATTATCTTTTTATGCACATGATGCATTATCTTTTTAACTTTTTTAAAGTGGGGAGGGTAGAAAGATTACATGGGTGTCTTGGGATAGAGTCTGTTGTAGCAAAAAAGAGGGAGGTTTAGGGATAAAAAATTTTAGATGGTTTAATATGGCCTTGCTTGCAAAATGGTGGGCGAGAGTAATGGGAGGCAAGAAGGGACTGTGGAGTAAGGTACTAAAAGAAAAATATGGGAATGCTGAAAGGAATTGGCAGGAATGGATGAGAGTAGATTGAGATTTAGGTTCATCTTGGTGGAAAGATATTCATAAATTAAACACAAACTTAGGTGATAAGGAGGGATGGTTAGAGTCAAATTTCAATCTGAATTTGGGGGATGGGAAGTCAATATCTAAATTTCAATTTAAGAAAATAATGATCACAAAATATTAATATATATAAACCAATAAAACTAAGTTATGTTGAAAAAATAAAAGTAA